ACTTTCTCAAGTATTAATCTTATTTCTCAAGTATTAATCTTGTATTTCACACTACACTGCGTTATTACCTTCTGAACTTTCTGTTCAGACCCAGTTATACTATAACTTTAAAATAAGATTTAAAATAAAAATTTGGGGCTAGAGAAATGGCACTAGTTGCTCTTGCAGAGGGCCTAAGTTTAGTTCCCAGCACCCACATGACATCTAACAGCCATCTCTAACTCCAGTTCCAAGGGAATCTGACGCCTTCTTCTGGCCTCCATGGGCATTGCACACAAATGATATACTTACATGCAGGCAAAAACACTCATACACATAAAAATAAATCCAAAAAAAGATTTAAACATTTAAAATTCTTTTAGTTCTGCTTCCCTAAAAATAGAAAACATTCTAGACAGGTGTTTCATACTACCTTTGACATTTTATTTGCACCCCCCCTCCCAATTCCTATAACCTTTAGTACCTGAGAATGGGAGTTATTACTTAAAATGAGGTCTGCAAATGTGGGTCTAAATGCAGTATGACTGGTATCCTTTAAAAATTGGTAACTCTTGGGGTTGGAGAGGTGGCTTAGTGGTTAAGAGTACTGGCTGCTCTTCTAGAGGATGGTGTTTGGTCCCCAGCACCCATGTAACAGCTAACAACCATCCCAACTCCAGTTCCAGGGGATCTGACACTCTTTTGGCCTCCTCGGGCACTACATGACATGGATGTAGTTAACATACATATAAGAAAAACACTCATACACATAAAATAAAATTTAAATGTTCCATTCTGGCAGAGACAGACAAAGGAAAGACAATGTGGAGACAGGGAGCAAACAGCCACATTTAACCCAAGGGCATCCCTGGACTCTTTCTCAGCTCCCTGGGAAGATGTCCATCCCTGCCACCATCTTCATTGTGGCCCTCTATCTCCTGTGAGATATTAAGTTCTTGATACTTAAGGCACACCATTTGTGGCAATCTGTTATCAAAGCCCTAGCAAACTAACATATTTTGTTAAAACAGCAGCAATGGACTAAGAGGGAGGTATATGTTCTTAATATACGTACACTCATTTTTATGAATTCCCTGGAGAACTAAGTTCATACTGAAAATTCTGAGATGACAGGATTTGGGAGAACCTCAAACTCAAATATTGTATACTGGCATATAAATAAATACACAGGAATGAGGGAATATAAATATATGCATGTTTGATGTGTTTCATTATTTAGGATGACTGACTGCAGTCTTTATTATTCTTGTTAAATGGATGTGAGGATGGGGGCCTGGTACAGGAGAGCAGGAAGGAACAACACACTGAAGCTGTAGCTGACATTGTTTTAAAGGCACAATAAAGCCACACCACAAGGTAGAGAGCTGCTTTCTTCATTTTATTTCAAAAGTACACAAGGTCACAAAACTAAGAGCAAGTTTTTGTTTTTGTTTTTAAACAAAATTTGTTCTTACAAACTTTAAAATCTGCATCGATGGATATGTACCAGATATTTTAAATACAAAATTGGAAAGTGACATTACCAATATTCACCTTTGCAAATGTGAAGTGTCAAAAGTTTTCTAAGTAATACAAGTGTATTTATCACTAAAATTCACAATCAGGAACAAGAATAAGTAAATCAGTGAATTGTGGTTCTCTGAATACCTATGGCATTAAACAAATTAGCAGAAAGCATGAAGCTCTTCTTTGCAGGCTCCAGTGTTCACGACCCAAACCAGACCAACTGCTGGTCACTATAATTACAAAATAGGACGTGTGTTTTGTAAACTTTATTTTAATTAAAGAGCTTAGGGTTAACATCATTAAGGTAAATAATCAGCCTTTCCAAAAGTAAAACAAACAGAACCACAATTCACTAACTTATTATTCTTCCCTGCTTCTGTAACATTTTCAAAAAAAGTCTTGCTTAAATATGGATTATTTTAATGTCAAAATAGGCAAACAAGTAAATTCTATTGCAGAATATGTTGCCTTTTATTGCTGGAATATCCGAATGCATCTGAAATATTAAAACTTGCCCAGAACATTTACACTACGAAACACAGGAATATTATAAAGATATATGTACATATATATAATATATAATGTCACAAACCACTCAAAAGTAAAACTGTGCCAACATTTTCTACAAACTACTCCGTGACACATTTAAAGCATTCACCACATAAAATAGGGACTTTTTCTGTTCACACTGAAATAAGGCAGCTGAAAGAGCTCTAAACACTGTTGAAATGAAATTTAGGAAAAACAAATCCCTATGAGTATTTACAAAACTTCAAATTTACATGCTACATACACAGACTGAGTAATTTTAATTAGCCACATATTAAAGAATTCAATAGCCAACTTCATGCAACGAGTTTTTCTAGTTAGTCAGAACATTTACTTGCCTCTTCACTTACTCCAAATTTCCAAAAGTCAATCTGAAATTCATTTCTTTTTTTTTTGGTCTTTTTGAGACACAGTCTCCCTGTAGCCCCAGCTGACCTGGAACTCACTATGTTGACCAGGCTGACTTTTGAACTCACAGAGATCTGCCTGCGTCTGCCTCCCAAGTGCTGGGATTAAAGGCATGGGCCATCACCATGCCGGGCCTGAAATTTTTTAAATCGGACTTTTCCCCCCTTTTTTATGGTGTTGGCTCTTGCAATGTAGCTCAAGCTTGCTTTGAACTGGCTACTAGCCCAGACTGGCCTCAAATCCAAGATCCTCCTGCACCTCCACAGTTTTGGGGTCATGGGTGTGTACAACCACACCCAGCAGAAATCAGGCATTTCTTTATGCCCATAACCCAAATAGATAATGACTTTTTTCCCCTAAACACATCAGCTGTATTTCCATTCTAACAAATTCTTGGCAGGTAACTCAAATTTAAAGGAAATACTTTGCCTATATAACTGGTCAGGGAATCAGTAAGAAATTTGGGGGTGAGGTGGGGTTAGGGGAAGAATTTCTAACAGGTAAGGATTAGTAAGATTTCCAGTAGGAAAATACCTAAAAATTACTCCATATTCAGAGTACAGACCATATAATCCACATTATCATTTCTCTCCAAATTACCCTATGTAACATTAAAACATGGTTCAAAGTCTTTCAAATATAAAATGGATCAAATAGTTCTACTTTGAAGATACAGTGCTGGCCTTGACTGATACTGGCTCTCTAGTTACATTGTATTAATAAAGTCTGATGAAATGCTTAATTAATTCTAGAACAAATATTTGAATTCTGGTTCAACTAAAATTATCACTGAGCATTATTTGGGAAATTATTAGTATTATATGATCTTTTAAGTAAAAATTTAAAAACCTGAAACTTAACTATGTCTCTAATTTTATGCCCTCTGGGCTGTTGTGGTTACATAGGGTTTTTTAATGTTTTTAGTTTTTTTAATTCTTTTTACAAACTTGTTTTTTAGTTACTGTTGGTGTGGATCTGACTGCAATATGTAAAAATCTTACTAAACACATCCACTTTAAACAGCAATTTCTAAATAGCATCATCTTCAGTGTATGAAAATCATTAAAGTTTATTTTCTGTTTATTCTTGTAATACCTTAGAAAACCTGCCAGATATCTGGCAGTCAAATATAGCTATGGTTATAAAAGCAATACAAAGGGTACTGGGGATGGGAAATTTGTTTAAATCTTTATCAATAACACTATCACTTCAGTGACATCAGAAAAGAGGGGAGAGGAAGAGGCAACATTTAGTGTGGGGATATAAAGGAGTCACAGTGATGGACTTGTTCAGACACAGCACCTTCACCTCTAAGCACCTTTCAGGTAGGTGATAGTCAGCTCATAGGCACCAGAAAGTCAGAGTGAAAAAATTACCCAAAACGCACAGATGGCAATGCTAACCCAAGTATAAAAAGCAACGTTATATGAGGTTTGAATCTACTTTAAAAAAAAATGCTTCCAAATATGTAAAACTACATACTAATTCATTACATTACATGGACACTCAGCTTAAGTTTACCATGAGAAAGTGTACACAATACTCTGCCTAACTGTAAGTGCATGCCAACATTAACTTAGAATGTAGCATTTGCCAGCACAGCACTCAAAGAGATGAACAGAAACCAATTTTCCCAGGGAAAAGGTTTTGGAGTTAATTAAATCATTTATTACAGCCCTTATCTACCATAAAGAAACTGCTGGCTCATTATATTCTACACACACACCCTCACAATTTAAGGGAAATAACAATAAACTCACTGTTTTCTACTAAAACTACACTTAACACATTTGGCAGATTAGGAGTATTCTTTTTACTCCTTTTTAAAAACTTCTTTTAAGAGTAAGTCACTTTCACAAAACTAAGACTTAACCAAACCTTCAAAGGCCAGCTTGATTTGCTGGAACTACACAAAGGCAGGTTTGGCCACACAACTGCAACTGTAATCGCCCCAAGTCTGGAATTCAGGATTGGTGGAAGACACTTGCCTCAAATGTATTTATTTGTTCACTGAATCTAGGAGAAAAATAGCTTCTAGGAACAGCACCGGAGAGGGTAGGCCTAGGATTACATATTTCTACAACAAAAAAAAAATGTGCAATAAAATCTCCCCCCAAAAACCAACAAAAATCATACACAAATTTGAAATCAATTATTTGTTAAGTTTCAGGTATAATTACCAAGTGATAACTAACACATTTTGTTATGAGAAAAATGAAGTGGAAAGCCTAAATCTCTGTGGACAGTGTTCTGCAGACCACCACAGCCCCCGAGGCAGCAGGTGCTCTCACCCTTCCTCACTGTTGGCATCATCTCTACACATAGCTGAAGCAAATGGTTTGAATCTGATAGATGCTTCTTGACTATTTACTATTTTTACTATATAAATGCTTTACTATTTGCTGTTGCCTTTGCAGTTGATCAAATATTTAAGAAATGATTTTAGACCCAGTACAGTAATAGACACTTGTAATTCCAGCATTCAAGAAGCTGAGGCAGGAGGATTGTGATTTGAGGCTAGCCTGGGCTACACAGAGAGACCCTGTTTCAAAACAAAAAGAGATAAGTTCATAGATGATGTTTATGAATAATTTAAAAGTAAAACTAGTCATTTCTAAAATGTTGTAGTGTCTCCTACTATTACAGACATTCCAAATACTCAGAATTTTGAGGAAGGCTATAAAAACAAACACACATACAGAAGTATTTTTGCCATGGATATTTCTTAAATTTGGGGGACACTGTTGGGTCATAAATAAATGAGACAGACATCGTAAAAATAATGGTAGAAATTACAAAGTACCACTTTCAGGTGATTCAAGTATCAACTTGGTATGCAGGCAAGTTCACAGATTTCTTCACCTATGACATATTCAAAGTGCTACATCTTACTTGTATTAATATTTAGGTATCTTTGAAATCAACTTAAGAAAAGCCATCTTTTCCTGATGGTAAATGCCTTTACTAATTATTATGCCTTTATTATTTCAATATGAAGTATGTTTCTCTTGCGGTTTGTTGTTAACTTTTTAAAATATGTTTTGAGGCTGTTAACAATATTTAGACCAGAATAAGTTTTCAAATATCAAGAGAAGAAAAGAACCACAGAAAGCAGGAAAGCGGAGAGAAATTCTATACTATTGACCCGTCCTTGCTCTGTGCTGGAATCATCACAGGAACCGCTCCCATTCGACTTAGATTAGAGGCAGCTACCTTAGCAGGTGCGAGACTCGGACTCTGGGGAGTGCGTTCAAAGTCTTCACTCGGAACCTGGTTATATTGAGTCTTGGAATACCCTTCCATGTTAGAAGGAGACATGGATCCCAGGGAGGAATGGTTGCTGCCAATGTAGCTTCTAGCAGTAGATGTCCGACTCTTTGGAGGAGGCACATCTTCCCTGGAAAACAAAGTCCCCAGCACATGCTAAGAAACCAGTTTCTAAAAGCCTACAACTTTTAAGCTACAAATTATAGGCAAGGGTATTTAAGTAAAAAGATAGAAATTTATCACCAAGGAAGGAAGGGAGGGAGGGAGGGAGGGAGGGAGGGAGATATGAATTATGCATTTGTCTCAGTTTATTATCTTGATAAGTGTGTCACACTTTATGAATGTGGCTCTTCCACAAGTGCCTATGGTTTTGTAATATCTGCTGAAGACTGAATCTCCAGGCTTCACATCCTAGCATCAATGATCATCTAGTGGTGGTGACATGAAGTTTATCAGAACACTTGCAGACAGATTTCTATTCCCAAGGTAAAGAAATTATTCCTTTTTGCTATGAAAGATCCCCTAAGACTTTAGCTGAAAACTTCGTATACTCAGTTCTCAAAACCTGAGAACTGGGGCTGGAGAGATGGCTCAGTGGTTAAGAACACTGACTGCTCTTGGAGAGGACCCGGGTTCAATTCCCAGCACCCACATGGTGGGTGGCTAACAATCATTCATAACTCCTGTTCCAGGGGATCTGACACCTTCTTCTTACGTCCGTGAGCACTGCACGGCACAGGTGCACTTACACACATTCAGGCAATACACTCACACATATAAAATAAAAGTAATAGATATAAGACTTTAAAAAAAGAAAAACTACACTACCAATTGTTCCCCAAACTACCCATGTTGCTTACTGAGGAGCAAGTCTATTCACATGAAAAGGCAAGCATTCTTGAGACAATCATTTTGCAGTAGTTGCCAAAATAGGATGTAGGACAATCTGAAGGGTGCACAATGAAAAGTTCTTGGACAAATGCACTGGAATTGAACATATATGCTTGGACATGATTTAAAAGAAGGAGTCAAAGCTTTTACCCAATTGTCATAAAAATTACTCAAGCACTTCAGAGAAATAACATTTTAGAGACCTAACTTTGGCATCTATCTGCCACGTCTCCTTTCACTTCATTACCTGATGTCATGATGAACTTCCTTTTCATATTTTTTTTCTCTGCGTTTTTTACGACAGCAAAAGATGATAACACTGATGAGCACGAGGGCAAGTAAAGTTCCTATGATAGCTCCCGCGATCGTTCCAGCTCTGTTGGAAGCTAGGATAAGATTTTAGTGTGAATTAGTAGAGGCAAGAAAACCCAGAACACTACATCTATGACAGTGAAGGGAGGATATAGACAGATTCATTTCATCGCATATATTAACTTTGAAAGATAAATCAGTAAGTCTTTCATGATTCAGCATGGAAAACTTATAAAAACAATTTTCTTCTGAAATGTGTTTTTAACATAAAAAAATTGATGAAACTTGGCTAAAAGAATTAAATAGTTGGTCTGGAGAGATGTCTCAGTAGTTAAGAGCACTTGCTGCTTTTGCAGAGGAACCCTGGTTTGGTTCCCAGCACCCACATGGCAGTTTACAACCATCTATAACTCCAGTTCAGGGGATCTGAAACCCCCTCCTTGCCTCCTTGGGTACTGCATGGCATGCACATAATGCACATAATACATGGAGGCAAGAAACTCATACACAAAAAATAACGTATCTTAAAAAAATTTAATAGTCAAAGCTATCTTTTTTAGCATACAAGTGTTCTAAGCTGCTCACACTTTAATGGCTAAATATTATACAAGTTGATTTGACAACTTTTAGCTTCTTACCACTATAATTCATAATTACCGTTTTTTTCTTTTTTTGGTCTTTTTGAGAGAGGGTCTCCCTGTAGCCCCAGCTGACCTGGAACTCGCTATATAGACCAAGCTGGCTTAAACTCACAGAGATCCACCTGCCTCTGCTCCCAAGTGCTGGAACTAAAGGTGTGCGCCTCCACACCTAGCGATAATTATAGTTTTATTACGATGTAATGGGTTTTCCTTCATATATTCTAAAAAAGCAGTAGCCAGTCATAGTGATCCGATCAAAGTTAGCATCCTTTATCCTCAGTGTACCCTTGCTGATGGAATGACATGAGACCATAAAAATCTTTTCAAAGCAGATCAAAGAAGATACTTACGAGGAACAACATCTAGACGCAGCAGACACTGATCAGAGCCCACTCTGTTTTGTACTGTACAACTGTACGTCCCAGAATATTCAGAAGTGGCATTTTTTACAGATATAACCGGTGATGTCATTTCTATGGGAGAGGAAGGAAAACATAAACTCATAGTCTCTACTGCTCTGAGTTTTTAATGATGCTAATAAACCTCACTAAGTTTGACAAATAAGTTAAAAGACAAGACAATGCTAGGTATAAAAAAAATGCCAGAGCCAGATACGCATGTCCAGCAGGCACAGTCAACCCGCAAGTCCTACAGAGCAGGCTGACAGTAACCACGATCCCTCCGTCACAGAGCCTAAGCTAGAGCGAGGAGGTTGGTCCAGCACGCAGCAGCTGCAAACTCATCTGGGGCACATTTAACTATAAAAGCAGTCTCAATTCACAAAGACACTTTCATGTAGCAGGAAGGTTTTTAGGACCTATCTTATCTACTGGACTGTCATCCAGTTTGGAAGAGAGAAAAGCTACTAAAAACCAGGGTGGGACTGATGGGAGGAGGGTAAAGCATGCAGTCTGAACTAACAGGTCAGTTTTATAATCAGATGAGTGATTATATTTAGTCAATTTGTAACTTTTTACCTCATGTCATGTTACGCAGGCTAGTTGGTTTTGAAACTTACAGTAACAATGGGTAAGTTACCGAAGCTTCAGCATCAATCTAGGCAAAACAACCAAGATCTAATTTGTGATCAAGAACATTTCTCAGCCATTAAAAAAGATCAAACAAAGTAACTAATTACAATATCCTAAAGGTGAAATCATTATAGAAATATTTCTTCATTGATGACATTTAGTTGTGATTATAAAATACTGAATAATTTTCTCAAGATGATCTCGACTGCTCCACACAGAAAACATGAGGCACTTGAGAATTTAAAATATGTAACATATACAAATAAACCCTACTAGAGTTAAGTCCAAATCAGTGGCGCATGGGTACAGTTTGTGTCAGTCAGTGGCAGTACCTGCTAACCACGGTGTGGGCATTTTCTGGGAGTCAGACAATTTCTGCCATTCATAACGCAACGGAAGTGAACCTTCTTTTGGTTCACATTTTAGTTGGAAGTCATTCCCAATTTCTTCTGATCCATCCACAAAACATCTTGTACCTGAAGGTTTAACTAAAAAAAGAAAAGAAATTACAGCTTTATCCAGAGGAATGGAATTTGTTTTTCTAATGGATTACTTAAACACAGAATATGATGCACAACCACTGACTCCTTATCAGCTGGTGCCAGGCTCGGAATGGACAAAAGAATGAAGGAACGATAGGCTGTCAACACCAGCTTACTCAGCTTTATCAAATGCAAACAGGTAATGAGTTCAGGCAAGCAGACATTGCACAAGGCTTGGCAACATCTCGGGTGCAGCTCAGCTCAGTGCCCCTCCATTCCATAGGCACATGTGCAAACAGCAAGGGCGATGATGCTGGATGATGAGGCTCACAGATGCTCCCTCTCCATTCCTTACCTATTCTGTGCTTAAGATGCAGCCATCTGGAAGTACGTGCCAAGGCATATGTCTCTAGATGGTGTTACTGGACAACCAGGATTTATAATCAGTGCTGATAACAAGGACAATTCTCTTAGTGCAGCACAGATCATTTAACACTGGGTATTTACATGAATTCAACTCCATTTAGAAAATGATAAAAAGTAAACCTGAGGTTAACTTCCAGACCTCTGAGCAATAGTTTAGAGTAACCACTAATCTCCTTACCTGAAACTTACCCCAACTCTGGCTTAACACCTTGGCATTGCATATACCCTTCTGCACTTCACTGGGGCATAACATTTATGCAATAAAATTAATGTTAGTAATATAGGCTTAACAAATGGATGTAAATAGTCACTGTTTGGTACCCTTAGAGCTAAACTGGTTTCAGGACCCCTCTGGGTGTCAAAATACTAGGATTCTCAAGTGCCTTATATAAAATGACATAGTATTTGCACTTAACCTCCTCCCTTTTAGATTTTAAATTATCTATACATTGTGTGTAATACTTAGAAATGTTATATAGTTGTAATGTACATGTTTAGAGAAAAATGATGGAAAAAATCTGTACGTGTTCCATAGAATTTGTTTCCCCAAAAAAAAAACAATTTTTTTTTTTTTTCTTTTTTGGCCTTTTTGAGACAGGGTCTCCCTATAGCCCCAGCTGTCCTGGAACTCACTATGAAGACCAGGCTGGCCTTGAACTCATAGAGATCGCCTGCCTCTGCCTCCCAAGTGCTGGGATTAAAGGCGTGCACCACCATGCCTGGCCCAAATATTTTTTTATTATATTTTATATTATTTTTATGTGTATGAGTGTATTGCCTGCATGTGTGTAACTGTACCCATGTTGTGCAATGCCCGTGGAGGTCAGAAGATGGTGTCAGATCTCCTGGAACTGGAGTTACGGATGGTTGTTAGCTGCCAAGTGGGTGCTGGGAATTAAACCTGGGTCCTCTGAAAGAGCAGTCAGTACTCTTAACCACTGGGCCATCTCTCCAGCCCCTCCCAAGTATTTTTGATCCTTGCTTGGTTCAACCTAAGGATGTAGAACCCAGTAATACAATGGGCTGACCGTATATCCACCAAGCAGTAAGAATAACTTTTCTCAAGAAAGTTCTCTTACAATGGTCGCAGACAACCTCACTTGAAAAGTCTAGCTCTAGGGGCTGGAGAGATGGCTCAGTGGTTAAGAACACTGGTTGTTCTTGCAGGAGACCTGGGTTCGAATCCCATCACCCACATGGCAGCTAACAACTGTCAGTAACTCCAGTCCCAGGAGATCCAACAGCCTCTTCTGACCTCCGCGGCCATTACACAACAGGGATGCACTTACCTACATGCAGACAATATACGCATACACATAAAAGAAAAAAGAAAAGAAAAAAAATTCTAGCTCTAGCAGCTATTGATCAAAGATTTCTATTATATATGGGTTTGTTCTCCTTCTAGAATCATGACTAGAATAACAAGAATGCTGTACTTTTTTTAGTCATCTCTTAGCATGTTTTTGAGAATAATTCACATGGTGTATACTAGTAGTCATTCTTTGTTAAATGCTGACTGGTATTCCACTGAATACCAATACAAGTATAAAACAAGTGTGTTTTCCCATTCTGCTGTTGATGAATACTGTAGTTTTGGAACAATTGTTGAATCTTGATGAGACAATGGACCAGGAGCCAATGTGTACTCTGTAAACTCAAAATGACCAGTAAGGAAAATTATAGAAAGCCACTGCACAAGAAGGGAGACCCTGAAGGATTCCAAGGAGACTCCCAGGAAAGCAGTGATCAATGCTCCAGCAGCTTCCTCTGTGGGAAGCCTAGGCAAGTGGAAACTAAATATGGAGTAGGCTATACCATCAATGAGTACTTTAAGTAGTACCCTAGTCAAGGTGGAGTACAAAGTGGGTCTGGGAGCAGCATTAGGGAAACAGTAAGCATCAGTATTTTATTCTTGCTCTGTGACCAGTTCAGGCATTTAACTGTATTACTGACTATTTTTCCTTTTTTCCTGAGACAAGGTCTTACTATGCAGTCTTCAAGAGCCTAGTTAAGACTTGGCCCTTGTAATCCTGGCCCAGAGTGCTGGAACTGTAGGCCTGCACCACCACACCTGGCTCTGTTAACACATCTGTTTCTTTTTCAGACTGGTTACCCTAGAGACTATAATCAACTGGACTTCAAAATAAATTTGGCCAATTATTTCATACTATGAATCTTAAAGGAAATGAACTTATACTCGTCCTTTGATTCTTCAAACTCTCCATAAACCCTTTATTAGAATAAACCAGCAGTAAATGAGACTGTAAAGCTCTGTACATCAAACATTCATTGCTAATAAAGTATTTTAACCCAGCTCCAATCCTTAACCTTTATACCAAAAAAAGTCCCTCTCTTGTATTACAAAAAGTGTCCAGCAATAGGCTGGAAAATTCAGGTCCAACTCAGCTGAGATTTAATCATGCCCTATCACAAACAGCAAGACTTTATCACTCCTGGTTTCTTGTACTTACTTGAGAGAGGCCCAATTGCTTTTCAATCCAAAGAGAAAATAGAAGTCTTTCCATGCCACCCCCAAACTCTGTACCACCTTTACCCTATGTTCTTGCTGGAATAGAAGAAATGCCCAAAGGGAACACAGATAATATCTTATGCTTGAAAGTGTCTGGTCTGGACTTTAGGGATGCTTGGTCATTATTTAAAAAATATGAAGTGGAGGTTAGAGGTAACACTCTGCCCTACATCAAAAGCTTACAAATACCCCAAGACCTTTAGAGTCAGAATTGACTAAGCCCCCACATATGGTAATGCCACTGAGGTGTCGAAACTTCAACTCTACACCAAAGGGTCTCGATAATGGACTCTTTCAGAGTGCCCCAAAAGGTGCTGGTGTTGATCTATCAAGTGTCTGTTATCATTACTCATTCTGGCTTCCTTAATGAGCTGCAACCAAATGAGCTTTTGGAGCATCTGAAAGAACAAGGCAGGCTATGACAATGGAGTTAAGTGACAGCAACATGCCACCAATCATACCCAATCAAACAATAGTCATCTGGGTTCATGGCTACACAATACACAGTTTAATGAATGAATTTTCATGGCCCTCTGAAGGCACTGGTGGCAACTCCCTGAGACTGAAGAACCAGTGAGTCACTAGTAGTGACTAGCGGGAACATCCTCTTATCTTTCCACAGGTTTTCCAGACAATTTCCACACAGAGCTAAGAGATAAACTTCCTCTCAATTTTTGCTATCAAGAGAAAACAACTGGTGTTTTCTCCCAGAGTAGTTATGATTCATCTGAAAATACAGAAGGGTCAGAAGGAGGAGGCTTCTTCATCTGGCTTTGTGCCAACCTCATAAAATCAGAGCATTAGTCATCCCTGCTTCCCCTTCAGCAACCTCATCTTTTCATATCCCTTGCTTATCCCTTTCTCTTCCTCTCTAGTTTGAACTCAAGGTTTACCACCTCTGGTAATCGCCCACTTATCCATTGTGAATAACGGGGTGCTGATGTTAAGGATTAATTTAGAAAGGCTGTTCCTGGGCTGGCAAGATTGCTCAATCAGCAACAGCGCTTGCTTACCTGATGACTTGGGTTTGCTCCCTGGGTCCTACATGATGGAAGGAGAACCAACTCCTGAATGTTGTCCTCTGACCTCCACATACCCACTGTGCACAAGCAGGTGTGTGTGCATGCACACACATAAATAAATGAATGAATAAATAAATAAATATATAATGTAATCAAAATATCTTAAAGGCCATTGCCTGCTGCTCCCAAGAGTGTGGTTAGCCTCATCTGCCATCACTGCTATTCAATCCTGGTTCCCTTCAGGGTATGTGTGGTCTTATGCTGTAATAGTCTACTAGCTGAATCTGCAAATTTACCTCAGGACCTGGTCTCACAGGAACCATAAACACATACCCCTTATACATCCCTACCCACAGAAAACATGCTAGCATGCTTGGGTCCACAGTTATTCTGAAAAGAACTTTTCAAATTCCATTGTTTCCAAGGTACCTTGCCCAAATCCTGATACCCAGCTATCACTTCTTTGATGTATCACAGGAATATCCATATGAAATAGTCAACATTTACCTCAATTCAGTACTTCCTGAAAAGCAGTGTTGAAAGAAGTATAGACAAGGTAATAGCCTCGGGCATCACTGGTTAGTTATGCAATATGGACATAGTTAGGATTTCCAAGGATAATACATTCCTTTCTCTGATTCCTTATTCAGGCTCATTTTCACATCATAGGAAATATTTTCAACTGTAGCCATTTAAGATAGAGTACCTTTTATCAGGACCCCTTGAGACAGCTAGCAACAAAGACAGCCCCAGTAGCTGCCATCAGATGGAAGAGTAAATCCCCTTTCCTGTTCCTGGTCTCTATCTGCTTAGATAGGCATGCTTCAGAGGAGCCTGATGTTCAAAGTGAGTCTGGCCCAGAACACTTAACTCCTTACTTCTTTAACTTTCCTAATTGGCTTTGTTTTAGAGTAGGATGAAGAGAAAAATCTGCTCTGAATAATTATTTCCTAGATTATGTTAAAGTAATTCTAGGAACTAACATTTCCTACAAAAAGTGAGTCTCCATAAACATAAGATCTTGGGTCACATGGGTCACAGAATAGGGAAAATAGAGAACTGACAGCTGTGTTTGACTTCATGGTAGTTACTACACACCGTGAAGTCTACCTACCACAAGGGAGTTTTAAATGTGTAATTATGAGTTACAACCTTCTCAATTCGAAGAGATTAATTGTACATATAATCTCAGATTCTAAAGACAAATAATAAAATTTGTGGTCTCTGACCACTTACTAAGTTTACACTTACCCCCTTATGACTATCTACAGAGAGCTACCAGGCATCCTAGCAACTGTCTACTCCCCTTACCTCAGAGAGGGAAACCACTGATGCCAGGGAGCCTAAATAACTACCCAAGTCCTTACTCCAATTCCTTCTACCACAGTACATCTCCTCCAACTAAATACTCCACTAATTTATCCTAGAAGCCTCATTTATCCTTATGAAAGTAAAGGCTTAAAGCACATTTAAACAGTTTTAAACTGAATAAGATCTTAGACTTAATGATAATTACATCTTTATATTTCAAAATAGTAGGCTGAGGTCCAAGGAAATCAACAGGTTTGACTTAATTCTCAGGGAAAATTCTGAGGGAAACAAAAACAACGAAACCCTTAAAACTCTTAACACTTTAACTCCTGGCTTAGTCTTTTTAAAAACAATTTTTTTATTTATTATTTTTATTTTAGCGTATAAGTGCATTGCCTGCATGTGTGTAAGTGCACCCGTGTTATGCAGTGCCTGCGGGGGGTCAGAAGATTAACGTTGGATTCCCCTAGAACTGGAGTTACCGATGGTTGTTAGCCATCATGTTAGTGCTGGAAATCAAATCTGTGTCCTGTGCAGTGCTCTTAACCAGTAAGCCATCTCTCCAGTCCTACTTTTTTTTTTTTTTCCTGCTGCTATAACAAAATACCCAAAGCTGGATGATTTATATTGGAAGGAAATTTAGGTCCTAATTCAAGAGGTTCAAAAACATGGCACAGGGAACATCTGCTTGGTTTCCAGTGATGGCACCAAATTAGCATCTGAGGAAAAGAGGGAGGGGTCAAAGGAGTTAATCAACTCTGAAACAACCTGGTTTCTGGAACTATACCACTAGAACTACATGAATCCCTCCTCAGATTAGTGCCTCTTTGACCTGCTAAGGGTCTACACCCCCCTCAAAACTTTTCCTCAGGAATTAAGCATCTGTGAGTTTAGGTGGGGGCATATTTAAACCACAGCAGAGCTCTACCTCTACATCATATAGACTCCTTCACTTATGCGTAAACTCATGAACTCTGCAATTAAGCAGGCTTCTTATCTTCTCCTTCTAATATTTCACTAGCTCTGTCTCCTGCTATGTGAGGACATCAGCTGTACTTCAATGTGAAACAAGTTTTGTTTTGCCGTAATGCTGGTGCAGTGCGCCGAACACTCACTTTGTTACTATGCAAACCCCCCAGCGCAAACAGAACTAACTCACCAAGGACTGTCAGCAGGACTTTCTTATTTGCCACTCCAGGAGCTTTCTTCACTTTGCACTGGTATGTGCCAATATCTGACAACTGTAAATTGGTGACGTTTATTGACGCGTCGCCAGAGTTGAGATCGTTACTCGTGAAATGCACTCGTCCTTTCAGGTCCTGATAGTAGTCATCGTAAATTTTGTCCCCAGAATATAAAATAATCTAAAACAAAAGCAAAATAAGACAAGACGATTTTAAAAATCTACTTCATTTCATTATTATTCACATTTCCCTGTGAAATCCCTTGTTCCGGTCAAATGAGACTCAAAGGCCAAAGCCTAATATCACACTCAACAGAAATACAACCAGAATCTACACAGACAATTTTCTTGTCTGAGATGCTAATTGTGGGCAGCATAACTAGAGGGAAAAAAATATTATCCAAGAATATATCTTTTTCAAGATCAATGTAAAATATTAAAACAGAAAAAGACTATTATGAAAAGAGACAAATGGGTCTCTTTTCAAAGGTTTTTTCCTAACTTTATTTGTATCTTATGTGTATGAGTGTAATGCCTGCAAGTATGTAAGTGTACCCGTGTCATGCAATGCCCATGGAGGCCAGAAGAGGACATCAGATCCCCTGGAACTGGAGTTACGGAAAACTGCTTGTTCATATGACTATAAAAAATCACTTAATGGTACTAATTCTCAGAAGAAGATATCCTTCATGCTTATTCAAGCATGGCTATATAATTTAAGTATACAGAACACTGGCTGAGATAGAGAACATGATATTTCATGAAAAATGTTCACTAAAGTGGTCACACAGGGAATTTCTCCAGCCCAATTCTCCAATTCTAAGAACTTAGCTACTATCTGCTACGTTAAATAGGAGTTCAGCTAGCATATAATGTAACTGAAATTCTCTGGAAGCATCCTCTCCTGTGTCAGGGTCTCCTTAGCCCACCATCTTCCTTTTGGTCTGATTTCACTGTGTATTAAAACTGAGGCCAGGTTTTTAGTCCAGAAATGGCCATGCCAGGCCAAGTGGCCAGTGCCATGCTTGTCTCAAGATTCTTATGCCTCCTACTCAGCCTGGAAGATACAGGGCCTCCTTTCACAAACCGACATGCCGTAGGCCCGGGGTACACTGTGCTTGCTGGTCTCTATATGACCCTTGTCACAGGCTTCGCAGCCTCCCCTAACTCAGAAGCAGTGAACACCCATGCTTTCCTGTTTAAACCACAGAATTGGAGTACTGCAGTACAGTGGAAGGGAAGTGCAGGACCTCCATTAGAAACATCTGTTGTGAGCACAGGAATTTTCAGAGAGAAAGGGGAAGCAAGAGTGAGGGGTTGAGGAGAAACAGGGTATCCGGACTGAGGAGACAAAATGTGTCAATTCAGATTTATTTTGCTTAGGGAGACGGGAAGTTCTGGTAGTAGAACCAGGGCAAATGTAACTCCATGGTCCTAGTCACTGACAACTAGGGAAGCATCTTTTTTACTTCCTTCACAAACACGTTGTGGGAAAAGTTGGATTTGTCAAAAACACTAAATTTCTGAACTCAGCCACTAAGTGGAAGAATTTAAGTTCCAGGTTGGTTTTGATTATATGTGTGCCACAGTGTGGCTTTATACACATGTATGCAGTGCTCACAGAGGCCATTAGAGGGCATCAGATCCCCTAGGGCTAAGTTACAGGTGGTGACCTCCTGATGGTAACTTTCGGAGGGTAATCTCCTGAGGGGTAGATATGGGGGAGGAGGGGCAGGGAAATCCCCTGTCCTCTGCAAGAGCAGTACAAACTCTTAACCACTGGTTCATCTCTCCAACCCCTTACTTTCAGTTTTTAAATAATCTCTTCTCTCTTATTCGGGCAATAAGTAAAATTTTAATTTTTTTAATCAAGATCTCATTATGTAGTCCTGGTTAGCCTCAACCTCATCATTCTACCTCAGCCTCCTGAGTACTGCGCTTACAAGTGTGCCCCACCATGCTCAACCCTTATAATTTCTAAATACTTGTAGCAGCATATTCCTCTAAATATTGGAACTTATTTTTTTACTCCCAGTCTAATAGTTTTTTTAAAAAAAACTCAATGTGTCAAATGAATTCAATTTACATTCTAAATAAAGTGAACATCGAAAAGATGAAGTGGTGTGTGTGTATGTGTGTGTGTGTGTGTGTGTGTGTGTGTGTGTGTGTGTGTATTTGGAAGTGAGGTTACTAGGCAACTTTTTTGTTCTATTTTTGCCTTTCAAAATTTTCTACATTAGACACTTAGTACTTAGAAATAAGACTGGGTGCTGGAGAGATGTCTCAGCAGTTAGTTCATATTACTCTTGGAGAGGATATGAGTTCAATTTCCAGCATCCATAAGGGGCAGCTCACAACTGCCTATAACTCCAGCTCCAGGGGATCTGAAGGTCTCTGCAGACAGTGCTCTCACATACACACACCCACACACATAATAAAAAAAAAATTTTTTAAGTAAAATATTTTTTTATTTAAAATTTTTTGTTTGTTTGTTGAGACACGGTCTCCCTGTAGCCCCCCAATTAGTCTGGATGGAATTCACTATGTAGACTGGGTTAGCCTCGATCTCACAGAGATCCACCTGCCTCTGCCTCTTCAGTGTTGGAATTAAAAACATCCGCCATCACACCCAGCTTAAGTAAAATCTCCTTTTTCTTTTTGAGAGACATGTAGTCACAACTCCCTGTAGTCACAACTGATCTGGAATTTGATATGTAGACCAGGCTGGTCTTCATCTCACAGAGATGCCACTGCCTCCCGAGTGCTGGGATTAAAGGCATGTACCACCTCAGCCAGCTTTAAGTAAAACCTTATCAAAAAGGAAGGGGAAGGGGAAGAAGAAAAAGAAGGAAAGAAAAGAAAAAAGGAAGGAAGGAGGCTATGATGGTGTTTTGGGGTTTTTATTTATAATTAAATGTATTATACATTTTTTAATACTATAAAGATTCTATTTTTGTTAATAATCATTGTACAGGATAGTTAACCTGCAGAAATAAAGAAAACAGGCTCTAATAATAATAATAATAAGTATCTTTGTTGTACTATGTTATATCTTATAATCAATCCTCTACAGGTCACAGAAGCCTTGTAGAAAGCTTAAATTTTAACTCTAGGTAGCTGAATAGATGTCTCAACAGTTAGAGCACTTGCTGCTCTTGCAAAGGACCTGGGCTCTGTTCCCAGCACCCACGTGGTGGCCAATAACCATCTGTAACCACAGTTCTAGAGGATCTGACACCCTCTTCTGCTCTCCATGGTCACTGCATGCATATGGTGCACTTACATACATGCAGGCAAAACCCTCATACATATTAAAAAATATACCAATCAAAATTTTTTTACTTGAATTCTACCCATCCTATAGCAAAGTATATCTTACTTGCAGTCCCTAACACTATGCGTATTCTTGTCTCAATAGCCTGTCTGCTCCAGATATCCACTATTCCCTGCTCACGCCACACAATCAAATCCAGATTTTCCAACATTCAGAACCTTCTCTTCTTCCCTGAAGTAACTTCTCTTCTACAGCCTCAGTCCACTTAACCCCTTCACTCCAGTCGTTTCCTTTCCTCAGCATGATCATATTCCCCACCTACACACCTAACAGCTTCTCCTACCTCCCTGAACTAGTCCATGTGAAGACACATCCAACAGCTGCAGAGTGAGCAGCACTTAAACTCACCACTCGATCCACCTGCTGGTTATCAGATGGTGATATGAGCCATTCGATGTCCAGTGGTCCCTGGTCTTCAGGACTAAGTGTAAACTTGCATGGGAGATAGGCAGTTTCCCCTTTAGCCTTTTCAATCTTCTGTTCAGGAGTAGTGATACTCAAACTTCTGGTGAAATCTGGAGGCAAAAAACATACACATGGGACTAAGCATCTACAATTGCTCCAGTATGGGGCGCTATGGCTATTCATGGGAGCACAGTAATATACACACAGGGTGAGGTTTGGGTGAAGAGTTCAAGGTCAACGAGTGCCTTTGTAATGACAATATTGATACCATCTAATTCCATACAATTTCTTTTAAGAGCACTGTGAACTTCCCAAAAGTATATGAAATGAGTTTGTATTACTTAAGGGCTGAGGCCTTCAACTCGTTCTCCTGTCAGCTGACCATGTACCAAAATTATTATAAGGGTGTACCACCAAAGCTGACTGACCATGAGTTTGGCCAGGGCTGGGGATGTATCTCAGTTGCCTAGAAGGTGCAAAGCCCTATGCGTAATTCTCAGGAAGGCAAACAATTCTTTAAAAATCATTTGTCACCAAGCATGTTGAATACCTATTAACCTAGCAGTAGAGACGCAGAGAGAGAAGGATCAAAAATTAAAGGCCAACCTGGACTACACAGCAAGACCCTGTCTCAAAAATAGTAGTAACAGCAGCAGTAGTAGTAGTAATAATAATAATAATAATAATAATAATAATAATAAATGTCTCACCAAATGTGGTAGCAAATTCCTGTAATCTCAGCACCTAGGAAACACGGGCAGGAGGATTAAGGGTTTAAACCTCATCCCATCCTCCAACTACAAAGCAAGACCATGCCTCAAAAGACAAGGGGCTGAGAATGCAGTGGTAGAACACCTGCCTAGCATCCAAAACAGTTCTATGGCTTTGATTCTCAGCACCATTTTAAAGAAGTCAAAACTTGTCTTTACATAAGATCAAGGTCTGAACAAGTCATTAACTTGATTTCAAACACAAATTTAGTCTGTAATGATTTATCAGAGAAAAGTATATTTTAAAATGATTTACAACAGAAAAGTTTGCATGGCACTAGTTAAACTGTGATTTCCCTGTGACAACCTTTTGTTTTATCTTCTTTGGTTATTCTGAGGCAGAGTCTTACTCTGGCAAGCCTGGCTGGCCTGGAAACACTGCTGAGATGACAGCCATGTGGTGGTTTGAATGAGAATGTCCCCCACAGACTCGAAGTATCTGCACATTTTGTCTCCAGTTGGTGGCATTGTTTTGGGAGGTCTTAGAAGATATGGCTATGCTGGAGGAAGCACGTCATTGGGAACGGGCTTAGGGAGTTCTTAAGCCTTGCTGGATCTCCTAGTCGCTCTCTTGTTTCCTGTGCCTGCTTGAAGATGTGAGCGCTTAGCTTCCACTCCTCCTCCAGCCACCCCTGATGCCACACCTCCCCACCACGATGGACTCTTGCCCCTTGGAACAGTAAGCTCAAATAAACTTTTCCTTCTATAAGTTGCATTGGTCAGTGTTTCTATCACAACAACAGAAAAGTAACTAATACAAGGCACAAGTTACCATCCCCATCTCTGACATTTTCTAAGTATTAACTCCAACTTCTCAATTTGTAGAACCCTAAGTTTCCACCATGTTGTGCTATGGAGCTCTACAGCTTGAACTATGACACTGCCCAACACTGACAGTCAATGCTGCATAACAGCACAACTAAGGCTAAGACTGTGAATGGCACCCAAGGTCTGCTTCTTTCTCTCTTCCCTCTCCCCACCCCACCCCCATCAACTACAAACACAAACACATGGAGCAAAATGAAGAGCAAATGAATTTAAAGCCCTCACTCTCCACAATGATTATTTAATGCTGTTTTTCCAACAATAAATTACAATTGATTAATGAAGAGTTAAGTCATTAGACACGGCATGATCCTTTTTTTTCTTTTTGAGACGGTCTCCCTGTAACCCCAGCTGGACTGGAATTCACTATGTAGACCAAGCTGGCCTTGAACACACAGAGATCTGCCTGCCTCTGCCTCCCAAGTGCTGGGATTAAAGGCGTGTGCCAATACTCCTGGCTCATGATCCTTTCTATTAGGAAAGAAATATGCTGAATACATAGACTATCAGATATAATAAAGTTTTGGCAAAGTTGAAGCTAAAAGATTGAGAACTAGAGCATCTAAGAGCATTCCTCAAACTGAACCAAGGCTGGGTACAAATCGTTTGCTCTCTTCCCTTAAACCTGAGGCTGGCCTTGCTTTGACCAGTAGAACACGGCAAGAGTGCACTGGGCAAGACCAGGGCTAGGCCTCAGGTTTCCTTGCTAAGTCCACTCTCGCCTCCTTGTGAACTCTCACCATCATGCAAACAAACTGTGTGGGAAATAACTGAGGCCTCTGACCAACAGCTATACCACCCTAGAACCATACCCCAAGTCCAGGTCAGCTCCTGCAGCCCCAGGAGCCCAGAGCTTCCTTTCTCAGCTTAGCCCACCCTGGCATCCACAGGATCATGCATACATGATTGCTGTGCTAAGCTTATTAAGTTGGGGGTTGGTTTTATACACAACAAAGACTGATGATCCACTATCTGAACCTACTGACTGAGACCAATCAACTGCCTACTATTGTTCCAAAAGTTTGTGTGACAAAATCTCCATTTCATGTTTATATTTCTAGCAAAAATAGGATTTGACACTGATGAGTAGGGTTGGGAGAATTCTTTTCTCAGGTTGTCACAAGGACCGTGGGAGGAGGGGATTGGATGCCACATATGCCTCCCAGCAGTGAATTTGACTAACAATGGGCATAGCCTACAGGATCTGATGAAACTGAGAATGAGCTTTGTAAGAGTGTTGATGATGTTCCTGGTATGGGGACAACCAAAGTAGAGTGGGGTGAGGGGAGAGTGTGGGCTGAGGAAATGTTAACCTGGTGGGCCATTCCCATAGGCTTGGTGGGGGTGGCTGCAGTGGCATGGTTAATGCAGTAGACAGTGAGATATGTAACTAGGTGAGGCCTTCTAAACAGTCGAGGGCAATGGGAGAAATCCCAGGGTTGCAGCCATCTTGTAGATGGTATGGGGTGGCACGCCTGCTTGACCAGTGGTGGCCGCCACGTGATTATGGAGATGCCCTGAAAACAGCAGAAGGTCTGGAACAGATTCTGCAAGCTCTGGGAGTAGCACACCAGGGACAGAAATGTCAAAAAGTAGCTACAGAGGCCGCTTGGCTGCTGCTATTGATAATAAATCTGTCCCAAGCAGAGGCCTTAGCCAGAAGGAAAACTGAAGGTGTTAGAGAGGAATTAGAGTGGGAGAGGGATATGAGGCTGGCCTCTTCAGTCCTGGCCTCTGACCTTGCCGGTAAATTAGATAAGAGAGAAAAGGAGATGAAGGTGTTGGCATGCAGTTTTTTACATCTAGGAGGTCAAAAGGGAAAAAAAAGCCCAGATCAGAATGATAATAAAAGGCCCAGCCTGGGATCCTAAAACCTGGAACCCCTGGGAAGAGTCAGGTAGTGAAGAAGGAAGTGACCTAGAGATAGTGGGAGATACTCCCTAGGTCCGACCTTTAATTCAAAGAAGGGAAAATCCATGGTCTAACATGTTGATGGAGGTCTTAACAATAGAACAATAGCCCGGTGCAGGAAACCATGGTAATCATAGAATACTCAGCACCAGAACTATTAGAACTGGGAAAGACCATAAAACAAGCTATGAAGGAGCCTTTAGCCACCTGGCTTGTGAGGCTATGGGACATGGGGGCAGATGGGATCATTTTAAGTTCTATAGAAGCAGAGAAGTTAAGCAACATAACCACTCATCTCTCTTTGAGACAAAGACTTCACAATTTAAAGCAATATGAGGGAAATCAGTCTATGATGGATTGGCTCATAAGAGCCATTCGGGACATGTGGGTATCTGCAGCTGAGATTCCCATGAATACTAGAGACTGGAAAACCACTGATAAAGGACAGGCCCTGTTGAGGGAACTGGGTATGAGGGAAGCTGTATTTGATGCCCAGTTCAAAGGCCCAGACAGGACTGTGTTTACAGGAGACTTAAGAAAGACACAGATTCAGCAAGGCCCATTAGACTGGTATGGAGCTTTGGTGGCAGTGCTAAGCCCCATAGTCAGGCGTGACCTGTAGGAGGCTGGCAAGGCTCTGGCAGACTTAAATGATTTAGACCAACATGTAAACAGGGTTCAAAAGGTACTAAAGTGAGTAGAAACAAGAGAAAAGGGCCGGAACTTACCAAAGGGGCCCCTCCATGTCTCCTGAGCATGGACGTGGATGGATCTGTGCAGAGCAAGAGTTGCTAGGGACAAGACTGATGGGCAGCCAAACGCTGTGTTGGTGAGCCTATGGAGGGCTTTAAGACCTGACCAGCAATTCACCACAGAAGACAAACTGGGGACCAGGAGGTGCAGGTAACTCCAACTTTGCTTCCTGCTCCAGAGGAAGGCAGCCTCATTGGATGGGACCATCCCCCCAACCACTGCCTTGAAGGGGTGGTCAAGGTTAACAACAGGTGAGGGCCATACTGGGTAACTGGAGGCCACATGTCGAATTGAGAATTTATTGGTCCCCCGCTAATATACAAAACACATGGGCCCTAATGGATACTGGGGCAGAGTGTACGTTAATTCACAGCAATCCCCAAAAACATCACAGCCAGTGGATAGCAGTGGATGGGTATGGGGATAAAACCATACAAGTAAAGCGGACTAGACTCATTCTGAGAGTGGGCAATTATCCCCGCCAGGAGTACAGGGTGTGCATCTCTCCCCTTTGAGAAAACATTTTGGGGGTGGATGCCCTACTGGGTCACACCTACATACTACTGTGGGAGAGTTTCGGCTGAGGGTGCAAACAGTAAAGGTGATTACTCAGGGGTGGGCAAGATGGGAGCCAGTCAAACTGCCATGAATATCAAACAGTACCAGCTGCCTGGGGTCAAGATGAAATTACCTAAACCATCCAGGAATTAGAGTGGGTAGAGGTTATCCGCCCAGCCCAGAGCCCTTTCAATAGTCCCATTTGGCCTATCAGGAAGCCAGATGGCTCCTGGAGAATGACTGTAGATTACCGGGAGTTAAATAAGGTGGTGCCTAACATTCATGCAGCAGTG